ATTTGGACTTCTGAGGTACCCGACTGTGACTTTTCTGAAACTGACCGACTTGGCCTCCCTTGGCCTGGGACCTTGACCCTGAAATTCGAATTTGGGGTTGCATTGTGGAATGCCTTTCACTCTCACCGGCCTAATTTTGAGGTCCTCCGAGAAAGTTACAATCTTTACCTATCAACTATGTTGATTCCTCACCTAGCTCTCTCATAGTAAACCAGCGATCTTCAGAAGACTCTTGATAAGCGAATCTGACTTTATACTGCCGCTAAGGCCTACCCCTGTGTCTGGATCTATAGACATCCTCAGCAACAATACAGTCGACGTCATACTTGGCATCCATATCGGAAGGAATCATACATCTGCGAGATGGAAATATCTCATTGCTGACACAAGGGAGTAACTTGGAAGCATGAAACACCGGGTAAGTGTGCAAATGCGGAGGAATCTCAACAACATAGGAAGGACCATCCACATCACCAATCACGTCGAGAATCTGGCACGGTCCCCTATACAGGCAATAACTTCTGCGAGATATTATCTTCTGGGAGAAACTCTTTAGACTTCACCCAGACCAAATCCCCTACAGCGAACTGCGAAGGTCTGCGGTGTTTATTTGCTTGTTCTATCATCTGATGTTGTGCCTTTCTGATGTTCTCTCTCACCTTCTCTAAGTCTTTCTGATATTGCACAGCAAACTCTCTAGTCCCTGGCGGAAGTCTTTGCACTTGATCAGGGTTAAGACAATCGATGGGCCTACGTGGACGCCAACCTAAATGTAGTTCCATGGTCGTTCTTGCTGTAGCCAAATGCACAAAACTGTTATAGGCACTAGCGACCTTAGCTAGATGTTCATCCCAGTCAATCTGATCTGGTCGGATGTACATACGCAGCACCTGCTGCAACACTTTGTTCATCTGCTCGGTCTGTCCATTTGTCTCAGGATGTTTGCCTGAGGACATAGTCAGTTCGGACCCATAGACATTCATGAGCTGTTGCCAGTGCTCGCTCATGAGTCTCATATCCCTATCACTTACAATAGTCAAGGGATGCCCGTAGTCTTTCACCCAATGATTAAAGAACTCTCGAATTGATAAGTCTGTCCTGGCTTCAGCAGGGAGTGGCACAAAAACAGCAAACTTGCTAAATCTGTCCACTATCACCATAACTTGGCTCTTCCTGTTCCTACTTCTCACCTTAGTGTCCATAAAGTCTATAGACATGGAGTCTCCGTGACCCAAGGGTATAGGCAGCGGACTAAGTAAACCAAGGGAGGCTGCGTGGAACTCTTGTTCCGCTAACAAACTTTGCAGCGTTGGTTTCATACCAGTCCACGTGTAGGAACGTAGGAGGTTAGCATACGTCTTCCTCCAGCCAAAATGTCCCTCGGTATCGTGGCATTCCCCTAGGATTAAACTGTGAATCTCTTCGCTGTTCGGGATGCACAATCTGCCGTGCACATCTGTTTTCTCAAACAGCAGTCCCAGGGTCACTCTATAATCCGGAACTTCGTGTGTTGCCATCTGCACTTTCTTAATCAACTGACTATAGACTGGATCACTAGTGTAGGCATCTTCTCTTGTAATTCAGCGCCCGCATCCGAGTATGTTATGATGACACCAAAGAAATCTGCTCGCCTACTTAGCACATCAGCAACAACGTTATATTTCCCTTTGACTGGCGTCAGTTTGAAGTCAAACTAATCAATCTCCCCAGCCCACCTCGTCAACTTAGGTGCCATTCTAGCTTGGGTCTTCAGCAGTGAAGTGTCTCATGGTCCGAATACACTTTGAAATGCCGACCTAGGAGGTAGTATCGCCAATGATTCAAGGCTTCTCTAAGAGCAAACAGCTCTCTCTCATACGTAGAAGCGGCGACCTTCTCACTAGGTACAGGACATGAACTCAACACGTCTGTACCCATGTCCATCATTCTGTTGGAGTACAACACCTACCCCGTATTGACTAGCGTCAGGGGTAACGATAAACGGCAAGGATGGATCAGCGATCTTCAAAACCGGGTACTCTATCAAGCACTTCTTTAGACGCTTAAAAGGCTGAAGTATAGTCTTTACCCCATCTCCAGACTGTCTCTTTCTTCAACAGCCTACGCAACGGAGCAGCTATTACAGTAAAGTTCCGTACGAACTTGCGGTAATAGTTGGCCAGACCAAGGAACGATCGTAGTTCCGTCAAAGTGCGCAGTGTTGGCCAATCCCTGACTGCTGCTATTTTGGCGTCTTCCCGCTTGATTCCATATCCATCCAACACATGTCTCAAATACAAAACCTGAAGCTTGGACCATTCACACTTCTTTGGGTTCAACCTAAACTGTGCGTCTCGCAATTTACTTACCACTAAACGTTAAGTGCTATTGGTGTTCCTCTAACGACTTGCTAAAGATCAGAATGTCATCCAGATACACAACAACAAATTTATCTAACCAATCGCGGAAGAGTTCATTCATGCATCGCTGGAAAGTAGCAGGGGCGTTAGTCAACCCAAACGGCATGACCACAAACTTGTAGTGGCCATATCGAGTTCTAAAGGCCGTCTTGTGTTGATCCTCGGGCAACACCTCAATCTGATGGTAACTCAGTGACTTCAAGTCTATCTTCGAGACAAATTTGCAACCCTGCACTCTATCCAAAAGGTCGTCTATCTGCGGTAATGCTTCTGCATTCTGAATGGTAATCGCATTGAGCCCCGGATAGTCTATACACATTCGCAGATCGTCTTCTTTCTTCGGCACGAACAAGACCGGTTTACCATACGGTGAAGAACTTGGCTTAATCCACCCTTTCTCTATCAACTCATCCAGCTGTCTGCGCAATTCATCGAGTTCCTTGGGAGACATAAGATAGATGAGGCCCTTGGGAATCCGACTCCCGGGTTCTATGTCTATCAGGTGCTTGGTCTCCCTTTCCACAACTCCACTTGGGGCCTCTCCCACGTCAGCGAACTCGTATAACAGACGTTGCACTTTGGGCGGTATGGGCACTTCTTCCGTTGTCCCTTCACTAAACGGCCTCACATAAGCAACAAACACTTGTTCGATGAGGTCATTCTTGACTATGTGCCTGGCGAATGCGGGGGCACTCATACAACAAAGGGACAAACTACTTTCTATGCCGGATGCATGAAATAAACGCAGCTTCTTTTTCCCACCTGTGGAACTGGGCAGCCAGCACTCATGCTCACCCATCTTAACGTCAGCATATGCGACGTTGCCCCGCGCTGGTGAGCTTGCTCGCTGGTAGAGGCAGTCTCATAACCTTCATTAACTGTCAAAACGTCGTAGTATGGATCTTTTTGGCTATGGGACTCGCAAAGTCCGATCATCTCTAACTTCCCTGTGAGCCCCCGTAGCTCAGGTGGCAGAGCATTCCCTTGGCAAGGGAAAGGCTCCAGTTCAAGTTCGATCGTTCTGGATATGTCCACACCACCTCCTCTTGGTGGTGTGGACATATCCAGAACGATCGAACTTGAACTGGAGCCTTTCCCTTGCCAAGGGAATGCTCTGCCACCTGAGCTACGGGGGCTCACAGGGAAGTTGGAGATGATCGGACTTTGCGAGTCCCACAGGACCTCTTAATGCTCCTTGAGATGTTCACAGCTATCTGCAGTGCGTCTTGGTGGACGCAAAGATGTCCATAGCACGTCTTGGTGGTCGTGGAGATATCCGCAGTTTTGGTAGTCCTGGAGATGTCCGCATGACCTCTTATTGGTCCTGGAAATGTCCACAACTCCTGTTGGTGGCCTTGGAGATGTCTGGGATGCATGACCTGATGCACCCACATCTTGACCTTGAGCATCACATAGATATCCGCAGTCGAAGAAGCAGAAGCCTCCCCTAGTACGGTCATTGGTTGCTCCGTTCCATTCAGGAGGGGGGGAAGGGGGGGGGGGTATGAGCAGCCTCCCCTAGTACGGTCATTGGTTGCTCCGTTCCATTCGTGGGGAGCGGCACCTGCTGGAGAACGGGTCCAGCATCCCAGTCGAGAATGCACAGAAAAGACCATAGAATTGGACCGCCCCCCAGTAGCCCCAGCATTGATTACCCCAAGAGAGTGGGGGATGGACTGTGCGGGGGAAGAGTGCGATTCCAGGGTGCCTCTAATGTAGTTTAGTTCCCAAAAATCTTCTTGTTGAAGAACTCTTAAACCACCAGTACATCTGAACCTCTTTTTCTCGTGGTGGATTTCCGCAGCGGGCAAATTCCAAAACGAGTCAGTGGTCGAGGCAGGCCGAGCCACCGGAGAATGCGATGACAGACAACTTTATCGCCAAAGTTTGCTTGGGAGACGTACAGGTGTTTAAAAATTTAAATCATGAAATGTAACTTACTCGTTGTACGATGTTTGAAAAAAAAAAAAAAAAAAAAAAAAAAAAAAAANAATATGCTTTTTTTTTTTTTTGGTAACTCTCCCACAATATGCTTGGGATGTCAGGCATGCAGTCGTTGAGGCTTTACGGTCATACTTGAACCTCTTTCCCTGCTGATTGTCCCCTGCACCAACGCATTGATTATTTTGGTTGGATACTCGGGAGGTTTCACAGACAGCGTATAGCCAGATTAGATCAGGGTTGTCGTGATGACCTGCTAGTGGCCATCATCAACTTCAAAGGACTCTCACGAGGACCCGTGAAGTTGAAGGCACACTATGCAATGTCTCGGCAAAAAAAAAGAAGAAGAAGAAAAGGAGTTGCTGAAACGACCGGTACATCTGGAAAATTCGGATGAGCCTCTCCGAAAAGATAGGGGACTCAGGACAGGGCCCGCCTGGGGGCGGGTCGGAATTTTCTTTTTTATTGTTCAGGGCGGGGCGTAGTGCCTCTCCAGGGCATGGGACAATTTTAGTTTTTCTTTCTACTGTCCCAGGTCCTTCGGACCCCCTGTCCCAAGCCCCTTTGAAATTTTCGGAGAGGCTCGATCACGATTCTCAACTTGGCTGGTGCCATGTACTGGTCCTTTAAAGTTTAAAGGACCTTTCCTGGCTTACCAGGATTTGTGGATGACTGCAAGCTTGCAAAGGCATTCTCTTTTTTTTCCTTTTTTTCTTCCACCTCCTGATTTTTTTATTTTTATTTTCAAGAGAAAACAACCCCTGTTTTATTCTGGACGTGATCCAGTCCGGTTCCCCGGCAAGCATACTGAAAATATACATGAAGGATCGAAACCATCCAGAGATAACTTGCAAAGGCATTCTGACAGACTGAATAGAATTGAATCGAATCTTTTGGTGGTCGGTTGACGTGTGTGGTGTCATGGCAGCTCTTGCTGGATGCTCTTGCTGTTAGTGGTCTTGCAGAAGACGCATTGGATGTTCTCTGCCAAATGAGGAGCATCGGGATGACAGTAACGGCACTGCATTTTTCTAGGATTATCGATGCATGTGTACGTGGTGAGGAATTTGAAGCAGCCCTTGAACTCTACGAAGAGATCCAGGCGGAAGGCCGCAGCAGTCTGCACCCGTTGACTTGCATGTGCGCGCTTCGTGCCTGCGCCCACCTCGGTCGCTGGCAGATGGCGGCTGCCATTTTGGTCGAGTTTCGTAAGCTGCTTTGTCCTCGAGAACCCGGCAGCGATGCCTATAACCTGGTTATCGGCTCATGTGAAACTGCAGGAAGGATGGCTGCCGCAAAGGAGGAGGCAGGGGATGAATCAGGATGGAATGACGATGAGAACAGCGAGGATGCGAGAAAGGACGCAGCCGCGACCGGTCAGTGGCTTTGGCTTGATGCAGCCATGGCGACATATGAGGACATGCAAAGACGAGGTGTACGCCCAAACTTGCAAACTTATGCCACAGTGATCAGAGCCCTGGAAAGCGGTGGCCAATGGCATCAAGCAATGGAGATATATTCAGCAATTCGTATGCGGCAGGAGAGCTGACAGGTGTGCCCGAATTGATACGGAGCCAGGGCCATAAGGACCTGTTTTTCTCAAACAAAAAAAAAAAAAGGAGGAGAGTTGACTGGTCGAGAGAGCGAAAGTCGGCAAGGAAAGTAAGTCAGTCAGAAAGAACTACAGTCTTCACTGGAATAGAGCGCTCGGCCATTGTCGCCGTATCTGGACTGAAAGTTGCCCCATGTACGGCTATAATTACCGGGTGTTCTATTCGGGTGAAGACAGTAGTGACTATTTAATCTTGTGGCTTTTCCTCGCAACGAGTGACAGACTGCCACAGAAAGACGGGAAAAGAGGGAGAGAGCACCCTTCATGTCGTTGTGTCATGCAGTGAGAGTGCACCCTTCATGCCTTCATGTCATGCAGTGAGAGAGCACCCTTCATGTCCCCCCCGCTTCCCCCCCCCCGAGAGCCATAAAGTTCGCCGCTGGATGCTGCGAGCGTGAACGCAAAATCCAGAGGTGTGTATGCCCACATTTTTCAGCTTCAGAGGCTCGAGTGAGGGGGTTTGTGATCCGCTAATAATAGCTTCAGGGTATATTCACACTAGGACTTCTTCCCACAGTCATAATGGACGGAATTGCAGTCAGATGCATCCAGGTGGGGCTGCAAATGCGGTCAGATACCTTTAAAATACAGCTGGTGTCAGTAGCTGCTCGCAAAATCCTCGGTCTTTGTGTTAACACCCCCCCCCCCCCCCCCCCCCCCCCCCCCCCCCCCCCCCCCCCCCCCCCCCCCCATCGGCGGCCACACCCTACTCCCTGACGACCGCCCATTATGCATCCCCTTAACTGTGAGAGGTAGCTATGCTTGCAGGGGTCCCCTGTGTAGGAGGCTTAGGAGTAGTGGTAGGTAGATAGTGACAGGTCATATTGAGAGAAGAATACAGCTTAGTTGAAGAAAAAACTTCAAAAAAGAAAAGTATGCTGTCAGTCTATCTGAGGTCAAAATAGTACGGGCAATAGCAGTGAGTGTACCATGGGTTGAGAGATGATTTTGTACATTTTTTATTTGATGAGGTTCGGAGGCTGATCGTTTCTCGTTGATGAAGTCGTGTCATTTTCATACGCTCTTCTTGTTTGGGTCTGGAGCAGTGTGTAGGTATACAGACTCTACAGTATATATTATATTGGGGTTCCAACGGCTGTGGACTATTCGGACAAAAAATGATCTATTCAATCCAAAGAGGTCTGCTCTCTTGGTCTTATGAGAGGGCGTTTGACTTATGAGTATACGTACGATAGATACCTTTGTTTGTATGTAGTGTTGTATTATTATAGTGAACTCGGGCAAGAGCCGTGGCCTTCGGCCTACACAATTTTGTGGTTTCAATAGAGGTAAAAGTGGCCTTGTCACAAGGCCATCTTCTTTTGGGGTTGCAGTATTTGCCTCCACTTTTATACATTGAGACATTGGGTCTTGCTTCACTAAGCAACACTCTACATGAACTTGGATGCTTTCTGGATCGGATGGATCCAAAATGTTACTCCTCCGAGTGCGTGCACCTGGTCCAGAAAGCGTCCAAATGCATGTAGCCTGCTTTCCAGCTGGCATGCCAGCAACATCCCATGTGTCATCAATGTTTCTAGGAAGCTGTCATAGAAAGCATGTCTCTGCTGTGTGGACTACCCCCGATGCCATCACCCGCCTCATCTTCTCCTAGCATGTCCCACATGCAGTGTTGGACATACTCCTGCTGCAACCGCAGTCAGATCCCTTTCATCCTTTCCAGGCGAACAACAGACGCAGCAGCCTGAGGAGGAGAAGAGACTATTCACATGAACCACCTACAGACCGCTGTACTGAAAGGTCATTACCGCCATCATGAAATCTTTCAGCAACTAAACACCCTTACTTTGGATCCACCCTTGTCGCCACCTGCCCATAGAGAGGGAAGAACGACTGCTGAAAACCAAGGAACTTGCTCAATGCCACTCTGTGATGGCCCACCGGAGTTTCAGCTAGCATGTGATTCGCATGCTTCATGTTTTGAGGATTTCATGAATGCATAGCCCATGCCAGTTTTTGTTTTCATACATATGATGGCAGTCCACATTGCATGTACAGCACCTCGACATGTCATGTCCAAACAGGGGCTGGAACGACAATGCCCCTATACAATTGTGGCCGGCGTGCCCCTGTGGCATATGTCTGCCTCGTGCTCTTTGATGTACCGACTACTAGTGCGAGAATTGGATGTGGTGCTTCCACAGTCCGCACCTGAACCGGCCCTGTCCGGTCTGTATGGGTGGCCACTTACCACAGGCAATGTCTGCCAATGGGAGCTTGAGGTGTGGTAGAGAGATCTGGGGAGGTGGCTTGCTGATTAGCTGTCACCTTCAGTGGTCGATAGCGGGCTGCGACTAGAACAACTGTGGCCGGTGCTTTTTCTTTTTGTTGGGGGGGGAGGAGGAGGGGGGGGTGTCCTGTAACTCCTAGCTCATGGGAGCTTGACACCGGGTACATGAGATTTGCGGGGTCCAATTGTGAGCCCTCATGGTGGGAGGAGGGGGGGTGTCCTATAACTCCTAGCTGACTGAAGAGACGGTGACTCTTTAGCACTAGATTTGCCGGAGGGGGGCGTAGGGGTTCGTTGGTGGTGTAACCTTGGTAGAAGGCTTCGATATCTCCAAATAAGTTCGCTGAAAAATGGACTGCAGAGGAGTGGGGAGATGGGGGCTGCTCATACCACCCCCTCTAGGAGGGACGGCAGGCGTGGGGGTTCGTTGGTGATGTAACCTTGGTAGAAGGCTTCAATATCTCCAAGTAAGTTCGCTGAAAAATGGACTGCAGAGGATTGGGGAGATGGGGGCTGCTCATACCACCCCTCTAGGAGGGACGGCAGGCTTGTTAAGAAAAAAAAAAGAAAAAAAGGTAGGAAAAAAAAAAGAAAGGGGGGTGGGAAGATGGTGTTTGGACACCCATAGTTGTAGTCGCGCCATTGAGTCTTCTGTAGAATTACTTAATTTTTCAGAAGGTTAGGGGTGGGAAGATGGTTTGGACACCCACAGTTGTAGTCGCGTCGTCGAGTCTTCTGTAGAATTACTTAATTTTTCAGAAGGTTGCCAGTAAAAGTTCAGAACTTCTCACAAATACTCATTTTGTTCTCAGCTGAAGCCCGGTAAAGGCCCCGGTATATCCAATTGCTCTGTATATTTTCACAAGGGACACTGGGCCCAGTTCCAAGCATCTGCTGCTCCCCACGAAGAGATTGGAGCGTTCCCCCTCCCAAAAAAAAAAAGAACGCTCGTTGACCACCTATTGGACTAAGAGAATACCATGGATTTTTATTTAAAGGTTTTTTAATGGTTTGGTTTTTAACTATGTTGCATTCTTCTCTCAAATTCTTTCATCATCTCTCACATTCTTTGAAATTCACCTTCCACCACCTATCTACCACTACTACTAAGGCTATGCAAGGGACCCCCGCAAGCATAGCATTTTGCCTCTCACAACGAAAGGGGATGCATGTTGCCCCTTGCCCTAGTGGTTCAGGGTGCAGGGTTGGGGCTCGGCCAAAGGGTATCGTTAGACACTCCTCGGGGACGTGATTCCAAGGATTCTGTCGTCATTACACCTGTCCTCGGAGTTGAAAGTCGGAAGAAATCCGAGGACAAATCCTCGGGCTCCGAGGATTTCCCGAGCATTTCATCCTCGGATCCAAAGGACCTCCTGAGGTCACTTGGAGCCTGAGGATCCGCGATTGACGGAGTGTCGGCATCAAGCCTCAAAGGAAAATTTGAGGCCAGAGATGGTCCAGTTGTGGTCGAGCGGGCACAGGACAGACATCATGGCCCAGTAGCGCCATGGATGTCCTACAGCAGCCTCCAGAGTTTACCGCTGACGGCGATTCGCGAGCTGGTGCGTCGGTACCTCCAGGCGGCTACTCGCGGGTGGGCGTTTGCGCGGGTGTATCTTCAGGTGGCTCCTCGGGGGGTTGTGGCGCTCTTGCGGGCTTTCCAACAGTCTGAAATTTGGAATCTGTAGCCGAATTGCCTGCACTTTTGTGGACGATGGTGCTCTCCTTGGCGTGTTCCCGACTGCCTTATGTCATCACCGCCTGCAGATGTGACAAGCCATGTGCCTGCGGTGTCTCCTCTTTGGTGTCATTCATGCCTGACCTGCACCGCAGGCTACCGCTAGTGCTGCTGGTCGCTGTGCTGCTCCTGGTGGTTGTCGTGTTCCACTTGTTTTCGTGGGCAACATCCAGGGAGGAAACAGAGTAGGTGGTCGTCGAAGAAGGCAAGAAAGATGGAGAACCGTCAAATGAACAGCATCGATCCTCAACGGTTCCTCTGGGAAGCGGATTGACACAGGATTGGATGGGGAGCCAATTCTTCAAATGGCAGCCAACACCCAGGACGTTCACGAGCTGCTGGAGGGAGGGTCGGGGGGTGGCGAAGATGCTGGACCCGTCGATCTCAGCTTCGGCTTGGGTAGTCGGAGTGGCCCGGCGGTGACACACACCGTGACTGTCAATCCAGCAGCAA